GGCCTTCGTGAGCGGGCCAACGGTGGTGGTTACCTTGAACCATTCAAGGATGTCCATCACCAAAAACGGGTACGGGAGGAGGTGGTCGTGCTCGGTGGACGCGGCAATCGTCATGTTGATCATGACAAACTTTGCCCAATTGATTGGGGCCGAATGCATGATCGCATGGATAAGCTTGAGGTCTTCACCGTGCATGATGGTGTGGCCGTGCTTCCGGGGTTTGATGATCCGGGAGACGATGTAGAGGATGAGGCGGCCTTCGGGGTTGGCGGAGTGGATGGTTGGGCGGCCTGAGGCATGGCGTTTGAGCTCGGTGATGCCAAGCTCGTTGAGGATAAGGCCCTTGTTGTTGAGCACCCAATCCTCCCACCATAGTGAGACACATCGTCGCCTTGGAAGGGGAGGCCGGCGATGCGCCCAAGCTGCTCCACGGTGAGCTCGATTGGCGTGCTCTTGACGAGCTAGTAGAGCACGTCGTCCTCACGCCGGAGGTTGGAGTAGAAGGCCCGAATCAGCGCCGGGTTGATCTCCTTGCGCGCCCGGGAGACGAACGGCCAAAGGCCGGCTTGATGAAGCTGCGCGTCGAGGTCGTCGTAGCCCTGCAACTCCGGGTAACGCTCCGGGATGATTCGTGGGGGAGCCACAACCCGTTTAGAGAAGAAGGTGAGGAAATGGGTGCGCTCCTCCTCGGAATCAAACCAAAGGTATGACCCGTCGCCATAGTAGAGGCGCTCCTCGGAGGATGACGTAGGCGCCCGGGATTTGGACTTTGATTTCCCGGAGGTGGCGGCCCTGCTCTTGTCCTTGCCCATGATGAAGAAGGAAAAAAATTGTAAGTAGAGTGAGATATGCAAGAATTATGGAGAGAATTTGTGTTTGTGTGTGTAAAAATGAGGAGTGGAGGCTCCAATTTATAGAAAAGAAGGCCTCCAACGTCCAAAATTTCAAAAAATATGACTGTTGGAGCAATAAATGAAGGTGCAACGGATAATTTTCTTGAAAATCTTGACCAGAACAGCGATGTTCTACTGGCGACATCGCTGTTACGACAGCGCTGTTGTGCCTGGTACAGCGCTGTTCTGCGTCAAGTTTAAAAAATTGGAGTTAAACAGACAGCGATGTTGAGTGCCCTACAGCGATGTTTCAAAAGTTTCTGGAATTGTGAAAGGGTTTGAACCCATTTCAACAGCGCTGTTGGGTGTCTATACATCGCTGTTTTGCGATAAAGAAAAAAAATGGTAAAAGAAGGACATCGATGTTGAGAGTAAGACACCGCTGTTTAAAAAGTTTCTGGTTTTGGTAGAAAACAAAGTGTTTTGGGTAGACAGCGATGTTTAAAAAAGAACATCGATGTTCAAAAAGTTTCTGGAAAGTGGAGATTTAAGGGACTCCCTGGGACAGCGCTGTTGGCTTGTTGTACAGCGTTGTTGGGAAACTTTCTGGCTGACGGTGTTTCCCTCAACAGCGCTGTTGTGTCTCCTGGACAGCGCTGTTTGCATGGTTCCCTCTGATTTCATGAACGGGGTACCTGCAAAAAAGAAAAAGTTCTCCGACGCTCAAGTTAGTAAATGTTTAAAAAATTTAGATGCACAACTTAGATCATCGTGGAGTCAAGGATTCCGAGTTCACTTCGAATGCGGAAGAACGACTCTTTCTCTAAAGGTTTTGTGAAAATGTCGGCTAATTGGTTGTGTGTTTCAACAAACTCAATTTCGACATCACCTTTGAGAACATGATCTCTAATGAAATGATGCCTAATGTCAATGTGTTTC